CCAGTTCCTGCCAGGAGCTGGGGTGGGCAGGGCAGCCGGGGGGGGAGGCTGGGGCCCAGCAGGGGTCCCCCCATGGTCCCTTCCCTCACCCCCTACTTACCAGCTCCAAGTCCAGCTCCAGCTCCCTGCTGCAGCAGGCAGGGACTGCCCGAATTGCTGAAGCTCTCTGCATCTTTTCCAAAGATTCAGAGAGCTTTGAATTGATTTGGACCTTTTTATTGGCCCCTGATTCAATTCGGATTTGGAGATTCAACCACTGAATCAGACCAAATCTCCTCCGAATTAAATCAGCACCTGAAGCTTCGCACAGCCCTAGTCCTCAACCTTCTGGCTCCATGGGTCAGATAAGTGATGCAGGGCCAGTTGATGGGCCAGACCCATGGGGTCACCACCAAGATTGGGCTTTGCACTGTCCAGATCCTGTCTCGACATCACCTGGAACCCAGCAGATCATGCCCTATATTTCGCATGAAGGGCTATGCTATCCACCCATAGGGCTCCCCATGGGTCTGGAAATTTCCCAGCAGGGGACTCAGAATCAACGCTGCATCCACCACTTACCCTCTACTAAAATTTTGGGCCTATGGGGATCCCTGTGGGCCAGATAAAATGGCTTCACAGACTGATTATGGCCATTGGCTAGGGGCTGAGCATCCCTGTCTTAACTTAAAAAGCTATGCAGATGATAATGTACAGCCTCAAAATGGGGCAAATTGGTTAGGTGTCAGTGTGCTGACATAATACAGCAGCATCACAAGGCACCATGAAGAGAGTGAATGAGGCTATAAGTAAGTCAGGTAAGCTTTTATAATGGCTACTTGGAGGGGGTGGGGCTCAGACAGAACAGCTCTATGGCAAATGTATTTTTTGAGGAATCAGTGAATGCTAGTATCAAGCTTTGTGCCTCTCCAACTTCTGCTGAACTCTTCAGAGTTGGCTTGTTTTTCCAACTTAACTGAGAACATCTAAAAAAAAAGTATTTCATTTTCTCTGAATTAGGAGTGTACAGGACTTCAGGAAAAGATTTTAGCGGCATATGCAGTTCATCATTCATAAATTAGTAACAGGCTTGACAGGCCAATTTTGCACACACATTCACAGTACTTGCTAAGAGCACAGATTCCATATTATACTAGCTGTGAACAGTATCTGGAGTCTTCAAGACCAGAAACCTGAGCAACTTTAGTGAAATTTTGAGAGCAGCTGCACACAGCATTGATGTGTGTTTGAGTGCTGTTTATCTTCCAGAGACACAAGCATAAGGACTGTTGCCAACAGTAACAACTTAATGAAAATGATCATTTTTGCACAAGCAGTTTTGCAACTTTATCAGCATAATTCAAATAGCATGGCTAATTTTAATCCTGTGTAACTGCTCAAAATGACCAACTTCATGTTGGTGGCAAGGATATCTTGGGGGGGGGCTGATTTCAATCCTTGCTGCTCACATAGTTTCTGGACCATCGTCGCTACAACATCACTCCAATGCTACTCTAGCTTCATGTTGCCAGTTTTGATCTGGTGCTGTGTAAATAAAGAAAATTAGTAATTCTCTGTTACACAGAAGATGGGATTTCTGATAAATAAGTTAACACTCAACTTAATGGTCAGTATGACATGCTGATTCACCAACACATTTTGTACCAAAAAGAAAATGCAGGTAATGATTTTAAGTAAAATGATCCACATTCTAGCAGAACAAATGCCCCTAAAAATAAACACTCACCAGTTCTGGTTCTGAATGACTCTTGCTAATTTCAATTTGGCACAGAAGCTTAATCTGAATAAAGTTGCCAGGTAAATACCAAGACACATGGGCTTTTGTTGGGCTTTCACCAGTGACAGTGAATTTAGAAGGAGTTTTTGGATGAACTGAAAAATAAATATAAAACGACAATTAGCTAGGTATTTTGCAGGGAGGGGTTGGGGTGGCAATTACAGAAGATGACAAAACATGTATTTATCTTTAGTTCTGTAACAAAAAAATGTTTCTCTTTAAAATACTCATAACAACTCAGGAGAGAAACAGAACATTTACCAGATTAATTATTATGACAGCTGGCTGTTGTGAAGGCGCGCACAAATTTTGCCCATGATGAAATTTCTGGCTGACAGCCACAGAAATAGTTTTACTTAGGGCACAAACTTTAATTGTCATAATGGAATCCGTGACAAGGAGCTAGAGTAAGGAACAGCATGGTATCATTCCTCTTAATTGCTATTGATTTTGCTACAAAGGAACAGCAATTACAAGGAATACAGTGGTAGTTTTGCAAGATCATATTGCAAGAGCAGGAGAGTAACAAAGATGGACAAAATAATAATAATAAAAATCTCTCTTACAAAATTGAGCAGCATAAAATTATATAATGTTATTTCCTGCCCAGTTCCTTTCATTTCCTCCTCCCCACCCTCCCCCTTTTTTAAAAATAATTTCCTTTTCTTTTTGAAGGCTGACAATAGCAGTGAGGGATTCTCACTACTGGATCTACTATTTTAGGGAAAACACCACACAGTGCACATACAAGCTCTCTAGCTTACTAATAGATGTGTATGTTGTGTCTGAAAACTGCACAAAGATGATACCAACAAGGGAGAAAGCAAATGGAATGAACAACTAGTAAAAACGTCATTCTTTAATGTTACTACTTGTACGGCAGCCCTGCGTTCTAAGTAGCCAAGGATTTGATTCCAGTATTACCTGACAAATCGGCAGTGCTGTTGCAAAATTAAAAAGTATAGGGCAGTCGTAACTGGAAAATGTATTCAAATACAAATTATATCATAAACTTTTGAATGCAATTTTTGATGCATTATTTGTCATTACAGTTTTCAAAAGGAAAATCTGAAGACTGCAGAAATATAGCTCTATGTACAGGTCTTAGGGACATGGAAGTGTAAGTGTTACATTTTACTGCTATTTTGTAAGGCTCAATCTTGCAATGACTTATGCAAGTGTTTAACCTTATGCCTCATGAGCAGACACTTAAATCATTAGATCACAGTCAGAGTTCATAAGGTTAAGATTGCATGCAAGTCTTTACATAATAAAGTTCTAAAGAAGTTGAACATTTAATTATTACTGGAACACTTTCTTGCAGGTAATCGACATCAAAGTAGATAGCACTAGTACTGAACAGGGGATCAAGGCACCAGCTATTAGACCTCCCTGCTTCCCTAACATTTGCCAGCACATGCCTTAGTAAATATGATTTTAATCATTTCCCACCTATTTGATAATTCAAGCCAATGACAGAAACAAATTACAAATGATTACAGTAATTATGAAAATTCTAGCTGGAGCAGCACCTCACCACTAGACCCCTATTATTTTAAAAACACATTTCCTGCACACTAAGCCTCCCCTTGATCTGTCTTTTTGGCTCAGTACATCTAATTCTCACCTCTTTGGTTTATATCAATTGAAAGTGATGACTCTGTTTGACCAACAGGATTGAAAGCTTGTAGAGTGAAATTGTAGATATTTTGAGTGGCAAGCACTGTAAAGACGCACACATTTCCCATGGTATTTTCAGTTACTCTGCAGGTACCATTTCTTCCAGATATTCTGTAATAAGGGGAAGGCAGGGATAAAGAAAAAAAAAAAGTGTCTTAATTTTTTAACAATCTACTTAATGGCACTAAATTAAGTTTCTCAGTACAGATTTCAAAGGATGACACATCTCTTAAGGTTTTTGCCACATAGTGGTCTTGCATCACGTAATACTTTCCCCCTAACCTTGACAAACAGTGTATTTCTGTGCTTTTATGCTACTACAGGCATCACTTTCCTAGCATAATGCTTTGACCATATTATCTCCCTGCTCCCCCCATCCCCCAATACACACACACACACACACACACACACACACACACTGCATTTGAGACAGAGGCTAAGAGCGAGTTCATAAAGTTTGTCATGGCCCAATCTTGCCCTCCCATCTATTTATATTATATTGCATTCATTTAGCAAAACCATGGATTATTGGTCACTTATTTAAAAAAAAATCCAAACAGAACCTTTGTTTGAATTGACCAGGCTGTCCCTTATGCATAAGAAGGGTTCCTCAACTACCTATAAACCTATTTTATTGTTCTTCAAAATTGCTCCTGCAGACATCAGTTTTGTTAGATGGCATGATTCAGCATATTCAGGCAGTACTTGCTACATACTGCATTAGAGAAAAAATGAAGGATCTTCATGTTTTCTTGTGCTCTCACATCTATATATCTATTATAATCTACTGTACTTGACTATAAGCTCTTTAGAGAAAGGACAGCCTTTGTACAGTGCCTACCACAAAGGGACCCTGGTCACCAGGTGATACTGTAAAAATGAATAAAGTCACTAACAAAAGTCTTAGGAAAAACCCATCCTGATGATATTATATTGCAGGATAATAGTACAATCCTGGGACTTTATTTTCAAATTTCCAACTTGTCTATATTTCATATGCAGTTTATAGCTTGTAGAAAGATAAATAAGATGCTAAACCCACAAGCAGAGAACTAACCTGCACAGGTACTGGGAGCCTAGCATAGCCAGGCCTCAGGCTAGAGTAAAACTTAGATGAACTCTAGTTATACGACTTGGGATAAGTAGAAAGTATGGTGAAGATGACATACTGTGTTCACTTGAATCCAAGATAACCTCCCAATAATTAAACACAGAAAAAAATTATGCAATTTTCCATGTATAGAAATTATTGGAGGCTCGTCTTAAATTTTTCTGTCTGTCTCCTCCACTGTTGTGGTGGGGAAAGCAGTGGCAGGGTAGTAAGTGGTAGGGCAGGCAGTAAGGGGAGGTCAAGCAACTTAACCCCTACCCTTTGTCCCCACAACACCTTGGTCCCTGCTGCCTCTTGTTGTGTCCCCCCCCCATGTCTGCCCCCCCCACCTCGACCCCCCCCCCCCTTTCTTCTACCTGCCTCCAAACATAACAGCTTAAAACTTGTATTTTAGACTAAAGGCACCCCTCAGAAAATGACAGCCCTTAGTTTTCACTCATTTTTGAGTACATAAAAAAGTCTGTGCATCTGGATCCAAGAATGCAATATGGAGCACGAGGCCATGTTATCTAGCCAGAGGACTTCCTCTCACAGGTCCAGATATTCAGCAGCAGGGATGTGGCAATTAACACTGGCACCACTTCCCTGCCACCAAATGTCTGGGTCATTGAGGAGCCTGGTGGGCTGGATGACACAGCTCCGGGGGCCAGATCTGGCCAATGGGACAGGAGTTGAGCTCCCCTGGTTTGGAGGATGGACCCTGATGCCAGTGTTAAGAGAGCTGCAAGATGTTTCATTAGTCAGTACTTACATAGTTAGTATTTATCCTGTTCATACCAGTTTTTCCTTGGGTTAAACATGTGTAGTAGCATTGATTTTACAAGTGCTTTTTATTCTGACCTGTGTCTTGTTCATATTTTAGGTTGTGGCTGTGTCTATTTTGTTTGAGTTTCTAATAAAAGCATGTATACAAATCACCTGTCCCCACTGTAGGATGCTCCAGGGCCTATTTAACAACCAACTCTAAACAGCGCAGAGTTCATGACTGAAATAAGTATGCAGAAGTACTTTAGGAAGCCTGTATCAGAATGCTCCCAATTCTAACTTTCTAACCATTTCTGTACTAAATTGAATTACCTTTCAGATAAAATGTAGTTTGTTTGGCGTGATGCAAAGAGTTCAGTGGGTCTTCCTGGGTTCCAGGTGCATATTATTTTGTCCAAGGTGTGTGTTTCACAAGTCAGATTTTGTGGAATATCAGGGGGATCTGCCAAAAAGAAGGAAAGCAAGGAAATCAGCTTGCATTCTTACATAATCAGCCATAACGTAGAAAGCAGGACAATTTTCTGGAAATCATGTTCAGCAATTAATATTTTGTTTTTGCAGTACAGCATACACATAGAGGCACCATTAAACCCCAAGCACATACATAATTTATTTACAGGATATACTTTAAAAAAACATTAACAGTCCCAAATAACACTTGACTTTTACTGAACTACCAACTCAATCACATGCACAGTAAATTTGTAGGATCTGGGCCTTGAACTGCTGGCATTGCACAGTTTCGCAAAAACATGTTTCAAAGTTTCCAAATTACATGTTCTTTGAGACAATTTAAGAAAGTTCTCTTGTTACATGTCATTTTGTCAAGTGCAAGCCTCAATTCTACATAGAATCCACTTAACTGAAGCATTTCAAAGAAATGAACACCCAAGGACCTCATAAACCTCCTCCTCCCTGCCAAAATTTTTTTTGAGTATTATGTCAGCACACTTCATCCTCCTGGGCTGCTTTGTTAATACCATCCTTCATTTTCATTGAACACTGGTCTCTCAAACTCAGACCCCAGTACTTCAGCAACCACTTCTCTGACAAAAGGATTGACTGCCATTCTCTTCCCAGGGAAGTCCCTACAAAATGTCTTTCTGTAGTCAGCCCAGAAACCAGGAATAAAATCAAGAAAAAGGAGCTGATTGGAATGAGACAGTTCTCTCTTCAATATATCAGTTGTGTGCACTTTCCCCATAAGACAGGATGACATTTTCTCAGTGGCTGGTTTGGGAGGGAAGACCTTTGTACACAACTGTGAGTAATGAGAATCTCAGTTTACATTATGAGCAATTGCCAGATGAAAAGCATTTAGCTCACCAGAGCAGGTAACTTATCTGATAGACAGACATATTTAGACATACAGTTAAAGCAGATATCAAACATACCCTAATACACAGCTAGATCTTCTACCTTATTTTCCCTTCTCTTTTCCATACCAGAACAATGTATCCAAACAATATTTGTCTCAGCCCCCCACTGACAACTATCCCCTACAGTGAATAGCCCTGGCACCACAAGCAGGAGTTTGGAAAAAGTTGAAAATATCCAGTTTTTAAGAACAAGCACACCTGCAGACCCTGCTTGTGTTTCACGGGCACCATAGCGGGCCTCATGTGATCCACAGCCTGCATTTTGTGTGCCCCTGACTTATATTTACAAGTAACAGTCCTATAGAAATGGAGGATATACAAGAATAAACCAAAAGATCAGATTAAAAAAAAAAGTTTCCAAAGAGTCACAATCAGTTATGAAATGCAGAGACCAAAATTCTAAGCACTTTTGATTGCTTTCCTGTCAGTTTTTTCTAATGTCATTGTGAAAATAACCTTTTCCTCCCAAAAATGGCAAGGAGTTGCATCACTGTGCTGTTGGAGGTGGTCTACAATATTTTTTAACTATGTATGTAGGAGATTTGAGGCTTGTATACCTACACAGATAATACAGTCAATAATCAAACATCATATGATCTGTTTCATCTGTTTTTCAAAAAAAAATTATTTACCATGAGAAATAAAGATTTTTAAACCTGGATTCCTTTACTATGATAAGGCCCAGAAAGCTCTTGCCCCAGGCAGGAAACTTCAAGATTCAACCTACCCCTCTGAACAGGTCAGGGTGCATTTTTGGCAGTAATGTAACATGACAGATCAGTAAATTAAAGGTTTAAATTTCTTCATCTCCCTTCACCCATCATGTGGGAGACAAATCAAATTACACACATGAGAAATTCTACAGACTGGCAAGAAGAACAGGTGTATACATAATCAATAAAGACTAAAGCTAATCTTCAAAAACTAATTTACTGCCAAGCATTCTGGAAAGCAGCTTTGGTCATGTGATCCCAAAGAAGGAAAAGGTGGTCCTGAACAGCCAGGTTCTCGTGCAGATCATCTTATCCCGATTCAGGCTCTTAAGCTACAATGCCTTTAACTGAGCATTTGGGGAGTGCAAGTTGAGTAAGTGGAGATAAGCATGCATGGTTTTAAAGAACTCCAAGACAAACACTGCTGAAAACCAGGGACTGGGCCAAAACAGCACAGTTTTAATGCAAGCCACAAATCCACATTGGATTTCCTCAAGCTGATCAAGCCAACAAACATCTAGTTCAGTCACAGTCACAATATACATATATATATATATATATACACACACACACACTTACATCCTACAAATAAAACAGTTCCCTCCACGCCATATGGCAGCAGCGAACACCATATATTTGTCCCACTAGATTCTGAAGCGCTGACGTTCTGTACTTGGATTGCACTGCTCCATTCGCTGAGATGAAGAAGTGGATACGATTTTAATCCATATTTAATATGTTCTATTCTTTCATCTTCACGGTGTAAGCAGCAAAATGTCATATTGGAACCAACTGGTACCACTCTGTCCTGAGGAAAAACCTTGGCAAAACTTAAATCAGGCACTTCTCCTAGCAGAGAGGAAAAAAGAAATTTTTTTTTGTAGTTTTATGATATCCGATTAGTTTCTAATGCATTCAGCTGATCAGCATCCAATTTAAACACTGTTCAGGAACACTCAGGTTGGTATGTTCTGCATCCCTCCAGTAAAAGAAATAAAAGTTATTTTTAGTTGATTTTACCCACTCTCAGCCTATTAGACTTCACCATCTTTAATTGATGTATTTATTAATTAATAAAAACAGAGTCCTATGAGATCTACAACAATCCATCAACACTTTAAAATTCAAAGATAACATTTCCCATTCAATCTTTCTCTGGAATTTGGCAGATTTTAAAGATAATTAAATTCTTTCCAATAAGCAAGGGAATAAACTTACCAGGAACTGTTACAATTGGGCTCCATTCACTCCATTCTTTGTTACCACCGTAATTCATTTTATTTATATAACATCTGATCCTCACAGAGTGCGACACACACTCCAGTGGCATGTCTGATTTCCAGTTCCATGAAAGAATAGTGTCTTTAGAAGTCAATTTTGAATGGTAGGTCACCTAAAAATGCAGCGGGAAAGCTTTATTTGACCTTGTTTTCCCTCCCAATGAAGATGGACACTACAGACACCTGTCAACAAACAGGCACCTTCTTTCTGGTATAGCTACAAAGGCAAATTTCATTAAATAAATCACATATCAAAAAATCCAGAAAAGTGGTTTGATTATCCCATAGCATAACTGAGGGGGTCGGGTGGGGTGGGGAGGGAAGGGGTGGAGGAAAGGGCACGAAAATAGCTGCCACCGCAGCAGTAGCCACACAGGCTACCTACACTGACATGGCAGCAGCCAGAACTGTCCTGTGCATCATGACTGCTCCAGTTGCAGAGCTGCCCAGCTACCTCTGGACTGTCCAAAACCTGGTAAGTTATTTAGTGGAACTATACAGACAAGAGCCCAACCAGCCCAATCTTACCAGACTGTGACATCTTGAGCCTGGGTAATGGAAGCTCAGGATGGACAAGTAGAAGGATAGATTGCATTTCAGAAACACCAGTGCATACCCACATGGCCCAAGCAGCTGGAATTTTATGACCTTTCCAAATAAAATATTTCAATCCCAGGAAAATGTTGACTTTTGAATATTCATCCCTACAAATGTTTTATATAAGTATCAACCCCTTCTCCTCATCCCTTATGTCACTCCCTTTGAGATTAGATTTTGAAAATGTTAAGTGAAATCCTGACCCTATGGACATCAACGGAAAAATTCCTGTGGACTTCCCATAGGGTCAGGATTTCAGCTCCCATCTACTCCTCCATGTTTGGGCATGCAGCACACCTTTGGATGCTCAAAAAAATCACAGAAAGGCAAATATCAGATCCTTACACAAATTCAATTGTTTTCTCTGTTTATATATATATATATATATATATATGTTCATATAATATAAGACTATATCAGAAGAAGCATGCACATTTGTCTTAGTAATACATACACACACATTATGATGAAATAAATGTAGTAGTGAATGCAAAGGTTTTGAAGATCAGTCTATATTGGACTTTCATAACATGTTAATATCTTTCCTAAAACAAATGTATTTCAACCACACGTGTGACTAGGTATCAGAAGGGCACATAAACCTGTTCGGGGAGCAGGGTTTCAGATGAAAGAGAGAGTCTCTGTCCAAGTAATTTTGAAATGCTGATCATAGGTTTTACAACTTGGGAGCTCAGTGGAAAGCTACAGGTTGACCCTTTCATATCTTCCCTGGTCTTTCCTCGCTACGTATGCTTGACAGCTGGGAATCTACAACATATATATATATATAAAAACACACCTCATTACTCATTGACACATCCACTCACATTCCACTAGGATGCACAAGAGGGGAACATAATCAAGCATTTGAGTCATGCTACCTATATCCAAGGAATCAGAATTGGAGACCCAATCCTATGAACACTTGGGACACATAGTGGGACTGCTTGTGTAAGACGCTCCTTTTCTCAGGAAGCTTATGCAGCCAGAGCACAAGATCTCATTACTCATTGACACATCCACTCACATTCCACTAGGATGCACAAGAGGGGAACATAATCAAGCATTTGAGTCATGCTACCTATATCCAAGGAATCAGAATTGGAGACCCAATCCTATGAACACTTGGGACACATAGTGGGACTGCTTGTGTAAGACGCTCCTTTTCTCAGGAAGCTTATGCAGCCAGAGCACAAGATTCACAAATATTAGGATGCAATTGAAAATGCAACAAAGGAAATTACGTTTTTTTTATATTTTCTGCCATTATTATAAGAAACTAAATCTTATGGGCACTGTGACATGTATCTACTCTGCAATAATCTGTGAATATTGTATGCTGATGAGGTTACTGGGGTTTTTTATTGTTTAAATATGCTGGGTTAGTTTAACGCAAGGTTGTAAGGCAAAGCAAACTGACAGGTAACAGTCATTCAAGATAAGCCAGCCCGTTTAAAATTTGATGGTAACCACAGGACCATGGCAAAGTCACTGGCTCTGAGAAGTCTGATTTGGCTTCCCGTTCAGCTAAATACATTTATTTGGCCAAGTACGGTCAAAGCCCAGGAACTAACAAGAATCAACTGTGGCATATAAGGGGGGCTCTCTCTTGAGAAGGTAGTTGTTGAGGAGGTTTTAGCAGTTTACCCTCACTTTTGTGTGTGTGTGTGTGTGTGTGTGTGTGTGTGTGTGTGCGCGCGCGCGTGCGCGCGCGCTTACTTAGAAATACATAAGATGACTCTGTATGTAAGATGACCTCCCCCAATAATTAGGTTCCAAATAGGGAAAATTTCTAAAATGTATCATCATTTTCTAGGAACAGAATCTAATTAGTGGAGGCTTGCCTTCAATTTCTCCCTCTCCCACTGCTACATCAGGGAAAATAAATCTGGGGGGTCAGGTAGCTCCCTTGCCCTCTGCCCCAACATTTTGCCCCTGCAGACCCTTTCTTACCGTCATACCCTGCACTCCCTGAGCACATGGAAGTGAGAAGCAAAAATAAACATACCTGTATTAACCTTAATGTAAGAAAACTACTACACGTACCCATAGACTTAGTTCATTCAGAATTGATGCAGTGTACTTTTTTTGAACTTCTACAAGTTTTAACACAGGTAGTCAGTCCATAAGCACACTTTTAAGCAGCACTTTTATACCTACTTGTATATAGTGCAAACTATGCTTTTATGGTTTTTTTGCAAAAATATTTACACATACACACACCCCTCTACAAATGTGTCTCATGACCAACATGGTTCATTCAACAGCCCAAAACTCTTTTACAGTTGTACCATTCTCATTCCCATTACAATAACTACATCGTGCACCCACACTCCCACATGCCTGTCACCATCCCCTTTAACCATCGCAACCATGCAAAGAACTGTTTCAATGCCTCCTGTGCGCCTCCTTTCCATTAACCCAAAGCCAAAAGGCTCATGACTTACCATACAGTTCACTGGGCTGGCCCCCAGCACAGAGATAGCAGTTCAAGTCATGGTGACCCCATAGTTCAACACTGCTCAATGTATGTGTGTATTCCAGATACCCCAACAAAGGATCTATGTGCTAATTAGCCCTCGACTCAGGACTAGAACCAGGTGTTCCGGTCACAAGCCCTGGGATCCTCCAAAAATTTATATGCAGAGAAGATACCGGGCAACCTGGTCTGACTCCACCTCATGGAGGGCAGGGCCACACTAATCATAGGCAACAGGCTGAGAGAGGGGCTGACAGAGGGATTTTGGATAAGCTGTCTGGGGCTCCATTTGGTGACGTTTGTCAGACATTAAGAAACAGGACTCATTGGAAATGGGAAAGAAAGGTATGGCCCAGTTGTGGGAGTGAAGAGGAAGTTTAAATGTATTAAATGTAGTGGATTACCATGACTTCAAAATGAGTCAGCACTAAGGGTAACTGAGCACTATGGGCACTACCATATATCTTATTTAGAAGGATTACACTAACCTATCCCAAAAAGTGGCATTAAGCCCAAGCAAATGGACTGTGCTAAAATGTTTCTGAGTGAACTCCAGACCTACTACTGGAAAGCGGTGGGAGAGGACAGGGGGTATGCAGCCAACTCCATATGGAAAAGGGACACCTAGCACAGGCTGTTCAAAGTCTCCCCGGGAAGGGAAGTAGACAGGGAGAACAAAAGGGACAATGATGTAACCAGACCTGGAGACAGCAAGGAGGACAACAGGATCAGCAGCAGCGGAAGTGAAAGCAACCATCGACAGCGACAAGGACTGTGAATGAACTGAGAAGGGAAACCCCAACTCGGGGACAGGACTAAGGGACTGTGTTTGGGTTAGGGAAGGGCAGAGGGTGGGCGCACGTAGGCGCAGGGGAGTGAGTATGGTTATTGTAACGGGTGCGCAGGTTTCTTCAGGTGATTTTAAAAAGAAAAGGTGAGATGGAAGTCTAAGATAGAGGATGTATATATCTCTATATAGATCTATATCTCTATAAATATATAGATTTATATCTAGATAGATATAAATATATAGATTTATATCTCTATAAATATATATAGATATATTTTAATTTTTTTTAAATGGCCTTTTGGCTCAGAGGGGAAATACTGTGACTACTAACTAAGGCAGTTTTCCCAGAGGCAGGGGTAACTGCTTTTCTGGCACGGGGTAGTACCTGGGTGGAGGTAATGTGTAGTTACCCTCCCACTTTCATTTCCAGTGGGAAGATCTTGGCTTTACGCCCACTTTATGGAACTGGAAGACTCCTCCCTAGCTTGTTCCTGCAGCTGTATGGCTGAGGGTAAGCAAAACCCAGGTGCATCCAAACCCTAAGCCTCTGGGCTTGGGCCTGCACGTAGGATGCCTGCCAAATGATTTGGAAACATCTGGAGCCCCAGGTGGAGGTGGAGGATATTTGTTGGTAGTAGAGTCTCATAAGGTTCTTGAAAGACTCATTGATTTGGAATTGATTTGGCTTGGAACACTTTTTTTTTTTTTTTTTTTTTTTTAAAGAAAAAGGAATATGTATTTTTGCAAAAAGCCTCCAAATGTGAGGATTTCAGCTATACAATGTATAGCAATAGGGGATTGCTCTTGGGCTTTTCCTCTAGCTTGCTCCTTAGGTCTTTTGGTTAGGTGCAAGTGAGACCAGGGGTCATCTAAACTCCAAGGCCTCCAGACTTGGGGTTCGTACATAGGATACCTGCCATGGATTTGGGAGGATCCGAAGTCCCAGACTGAGGAGCAGGGATCCTGGTCATCTCTGATTAAAAATTGCAAATTCTCTGATTAAAAACCCCAAATCTGTGATAAAAATTAAAGGCCCCCCCAGCACTGCTGGTGCCCCACACTCCCCTCCCACAGCCTCAACATCCATCCTGATGCCCCTCACAACAGCCCCCTAGACCCACAAACACAGAGATGCAGGCACAGAGGCACACAGACACTGACACCCACCCCACCAGGTAAGTGTGTGGGGGAAGGGGAAGGGGCAGGGCAAAGGGAAGGTGCAGGGGGAGTAGATCAAGAAGGGGGGGGTGTGTCCACTCCCAGGAGCAGGGCCGGGGGTGAAGGCAGAGGTGCTACTCTGAGGGCCACACGTGCTGGCTGGCCTTGCAGGGGGTTCGCACATGGAGGTTGCCACCGCAAGTCTGCCACTGCGCCCTGCACTACCATCCCACGGCCACCCGCACGGCTTTGTGGGCAAGTGGTGCAGGGTGTGGCAGCCCAATGGCAACCACCATGTGAGGACCACATGTGCGCCACCCGGTCAGGGGGGTAGAAAGTGGGACTTACATGCAGCGGCCACCACTGCACCGCTGCTTATGCCTCGTGACCGGCTGCACGTCTCCACAGCAGTGTGGGGTGGTGGCAGAGGCTGTGTGCTCACTCGGGGTGCTATGCAGCCAAGCGCTGCCACCACGGAGCCATGCCCTTTGCCCCTGGATCCTAGAGGTAAGTCGGGCTTGGGGTTGTGCAGCAGGGCCAGGGGATGAGAGTAGGGCCAGGGGGTGAAGACAGCGGTGCCTCTCTGCAGGGGGCTTTGCAGGCAAGCCATGTAGTGTGAAGTGTGGTGGTGTCCCCCATGTGCGGGCTGCACACATGCTGCCTGGTTGGCTGCCCAGGGGAGGGGGAGCTTGCATGCGGCCAGCTGCACAGTTCCATGGCTGGCTCTGCAGAGTAGTGACGGATGGCG